AAAAGTGAAAAGGTCCCCCAATGAGCCAGGCGACTGGAAGCCATGACAGCCTCGCTCCCAAAAGCCGCACACAAAACACTTAATGAAATAATTATGTAAAGCAAACAACCTGTCGTTCTATGCCCGCCTTGGCCATCACCTTTGCCGCAGAGACTTGCCTTTGACTTTCATTAATTTGATGATATCCAATCTTAATTATTATAGGGGAGGGTGGTCCCATACCGACCGGTCGTACCATACCGACCCCCCCATGTTTCTCAGAGATGGCGATGCTAGCCGAATTGTCGGTAACTTCAGTGAAAAGCTGTTATAACACAGACATTTTGGAGATAGATAGCCACTTTGACTTATTTTGTTTCACTGCAATTTTTCCGTTTGTTTTGTTTCAACGCCTGTGACATTTATTTTTGAGCTTTACTGAACTTGAGCTTAAATTTTTTTTTCTCCGCATAAAAATCGGAGAGTAAATTTTTCTGATCGTTGATAGTCCTAGCTTTCACTCACATAATTAGAATTACATCGCTCTTTGCGTCTTTAGTTAATGCCGAGCAGTTAATCAGAAAAGGTCGTGGTGGTCCGAAACCGACCGCTAGGTGATGGTCCGAAACCGACCCCCATTTATTGGCAGCTTAATATGTCATAGCGTATTTTTGATGGAAAATATGAAAAAGTAAACAAGATTCAGTAAAGAAAAGTAACAGAAACAGCAAAAACATCAGAAGAAAGCGAAGAGACAGTCATCAACGAGCGGCTTTCGAAAAACAACTCGAAAACATCGCGAAAACTTACTATGAGAAAGAGGACAACTCAGACTTCATCAATTGACTACAGTGCCCTTTATTTCATACATTAATTTTTATTTTCTGGAAAGAACCTTCAATATATTTCTTAATAAACGTCAAAATCATTAAATTCTATTTTATGTTATTAAATTTTTCTGTTAAGAAATAGGGGGTCGGTTTCGGACCACTACTTTTGAGTACGACCAAAAAGTAGAGTTTTATATTTTCCTGAATATCTAACGCTTCAAAGCACCTACGCACTTACTAATAATTTAGATGTATAGTAAACTGATCCCTCTACATAGTAAATTTTTGAACTGAACTGAAAAATTGATTTTTCTCACCTTTATCGCTTTTGCCTTTTAGAGGGTCGGTATGGGACCACCCTCCCCTACATTTAATTAGATAGCTTTTATACGACCAGACTTGTGCGGAGACTTTTGTGCTTTAAACTTGTTTATTTTCATTTACAAGGGAAACTGGGGCTTTAAAGTCTCACTTTATCAATGAACATTATGATTGCCTGGATCAAAAACAGAACAAATTACAAACCCTTCAAATAAAGCAGGATAGCAGCCATGTCAGGGCACCCAAACTAGTTTATCACATGCTGATCATACGCAGGCTCCCATTTAGTATGCAACAAATAGCGGGAGGAATGCCACTCACCAGCAGGTGGGGGCTTGTAAAATAATTTGAAAACAGGGCATTAGCGTAATGAAGCATGGAAAAGTGGGCGGTCGCCTCGGGGGCGGGAGTGAAAGTAGGTAAAGCTGTTGGCAAGCAGGTGAAAAGCGCACATAAATGCCAGAAGTTATGCAAGTCCTTAACTTTCATGAGTATGCCACGCTGACAGACGAGCGTTTCGGGGAGTTGGACGCCAATGAGGGGGGAGGGGGTGGAAAAGGTTTTCATGGCGGAAAGGGAAAAGCGCCGCCAAAGAAAACTGTTGTTGCAAATGCAGATAGCACTAGCTGCTGCCTGGGTGCAAGTGGCGTATCACACATGTTTGTCATGTGAATGCCGCTGCCTCAAAGTGTCTGTCTGGATTCAGGTTGAGTGCGAATTCCCTTACAGAACTTTACAGCACACAAACACACTTGCCGTCAAATGTACAGAAAGAAATAAACTGCCACAAAAAGTTTACTTAGTTAAAAAAGAGGAAGGGAATATTTGTAGTCTGAACCAGAGCTTTTATAAATATTTAAAATTTTTTATTCCAAGAAAAAAAGTTGTATAAAATTAAGTAGACACGTTTTATAAGAAGATAGAAAGATACAATATTTTGTACCATTTTTTATTAACCCCCCTTTACCAACTTTTGTAACCTCTTTTGATTAGAAAACCCTTTCTCCCAGTGCACCGACACCTTCCCGGAAAGCCTCGTATTCTTATTCAGTGCGTAATCTTCACCTTTTTCACAGTTTTCCCGTGCACTTTTATTGCATCCTTTTAGGGCGGGTCCTTGGCGGCGGAGCCGCAGGAGCAGGAGCTTGTATCGACAAAAGTTGCACCTTGAATTTGCCACTTTATGCCGCGAGCTCCCCGCACTTTGCCGCCAGTTAAGTAGTTGTAAGCTGCATAATGTATTTACGCAAGCACCGGAAATTGGGTGCCACGAGCTGGGTGGCAAGGCAACCATAAAGCCTTGTGGCAGCCATCGTGCTAAACGCGCATAGACAAGTGTGATCCCCTGTGGATGCCAACGGGGATGTGGGATGTGGAAAGTGGGTGGTTGGATGAAGTATAGCGGCATGGAGGATGTGGATGCGGGCACTCTTTGGTTTCTGCCGGCATATTTTATGGCGCTCTGAATCCAGCTAAATTGCAACAACTCGCTGCTGCTGCCGAGCGGATTTGATTAATATGCAACGTGCACGTAGTTCAGCAAGCTGCGGTTTACGAGGCCGTCGACTACCACTCATATGGCTGAGATTCGAAACTTTTTCCGCTCTGAATTAATTTTTACTGGATATTGAATTTTTCCCTAAATCGGAATCATTTTTAAAGCCAAACTAACCCACAGAACCTCGTTTATGAAATTTGAATATCTTTATTGATAATAAGAAAGGAAGCTAACTTCAACTAGCCGAAGCTTACTCTATATTCCCTCGCAAAATGCATGAAGCCTAAACTACATTTAAATAATGACGATTTCTAATTTATTTTCCTGTGACAGCTTTATGGTATAGTCGTTTCATTTTCATGAGATTTATATAAGTTATTAATTTATACAAAATCAATGAAACAAGAGTTCTTTAAGATGCATGCCACTTAAAAATCTGATTAAAATTAGAAAGGTTATGGACTTTGAATTAGTGTATCAGAAATCAGAAGAATTAAAAAAAAACTCGGCCAAAAAATAAAAACTAACTAATGATCCATATAGTCGTGCGATTTTTAAGAAATTTAATTCAAAATTCAAGAGTCCTTTGAAAACTGAATTTGTAAAACTGCAATTATAATACCCTGCAAGGGTATACAAACAGAATTATATTGCTATCGCCAACTGTATATGCAGATGCTGCCGTTTTGCATTTCTTTGAATGGGAACTGTATGTTAATTTCCTGTGTAATTGGCCAACATTTAGTTTTCAACTGTCTCCGGCAAGAGAAAAAGGCGCAAAATACAATGCAAATATAGAGTTTTACGAAGAGGCAGCTGGAGGAGGATAGGTGGGATTCGGCAATCGTAGAGTTCAGGGTCCATTTCCTCGCCCTCATTGTCATAATCATCAGCAGCGTAGTCATAATAGGCAGCCTTGCCAACCGACACCGGGCGAATTTTGTTCGGCAATATGCAAATTTACTTAAATGTCAACGTTGGTAAAATTTTAAAAACGACAAACGCAGAATTCCATTCCATTCGAGAAAAGGGTGGCGAAACGTGGTCGGCGGCACTGGCAGCAATGTAAAATTCGTTGGAATTGTGCACCAAATAAAGGGACGAGCCAGAAGAGATGGTGACAAACTGCAAACGTCAACCAATTTTTTTCCCTTCACTTTGGTATGTACAGAAAATGGGAGAGTGAGTGAAACTCGGTGACAATGATGTTAACTAGAGTGTGAAAACTATGATTGGCTGACAACGGGGAGGCGGAGGGATATGGGGGAGGGGGCGGGATAGGTCTCCATGTACATGCTGATTTATGCCATATTCTTGCTCATCTCACCGCTCAGGGGTCGTCACCTGAATCACTCCACTTTCCTCGGCTCGTCAGCCACTCTGCGTGCGCTTGTTGAAACAAATGCCACAAATGATTTTCATTTCTTTTTCATTTCCCTCTGCCTACACTTTTCATTCCCTTTAAACGCCGACTACTCTGAAAGCTGGCTAACTTTAAGTAGGATAATCATTTTTAAGCTGGCAGAATCTAGGCTAGCTAATGGACAAATTGTGGCTCTTTAATTTGGGTTGAAAATGTGGCAATTCAGTTGAGTAATAGGAATCAGCAGCACACATGAAAAGGAATAATCAAATAATCAAGTCTAGTTTTTATAACTCCATTAAAATAAATTAGCCTACGTAATGCGTTAAAAAAAGTAAAAAGGGTAATTTCCACTTAATTAAATTAATTTAAACGAAATGCGGGAAAGTACAGTTAAAAATGCACAAAAAGCCCGTGACTGCTGAACTCACAACTAATAATCCGAATTCCAACATGTAGTTGGTTTATGCATGGACACACCCACTTCCTGCCCAATAACCACAGAAAATTACTCCCGAATTCATTTGATTTCAGCAAAAGTTACCCGCTGTGCCATGGGTGGAAATATTTTGACATCCAGTTGGTTTGCCACGCTTCCCAGCTTTGCATCAGTTTAATACGTTGTTAGTGAGAATAAATGTTGTCCCTCCTCTTATTTTTTCTAGTCAGTTTTTTTTCCCTATTTGTTTTTACTTTTTGGAACTGTGCTAGCGGCTAGCGGTAACATCATGAATGAATATTTAACATTCTTGTCTGCAATTCTGGGGCTACACTAGAATACATAAGTTGGCTGGTGAGAACCTGAAAGAAAAATTAACTTGCATTTTTTCATTTTCTTGGTCTTCAAGAATTAAATTTTCGTTGGTATCCAAAAAGCCAAAACAGTGTGAAAAGCGAAGAAAGCTGCTTTAGTTCATAATCGCAAGTAAAATGGTTGTAAGAAATTATCGATTTAAGTCCATTGAAGAAATCGTATTTTATTTATTTGTATTTCACTTATTTGGTAGGGCTTAAGAATTATTGCAAACACTTCATATCATTTCAATTGATTTTCCATTTCATTTTAATTTCCATTCCATTGGCATCCCCTTAAAATTTGAAGTTGCAAATCAAGTATACGCAACGTTGGAGCAACTCCTTACAATTTTGTTTATTTAGTTGATTAAGTTTCGGTTTTATTTTGGGTTTGGTTTTTCTTGGCTTGGCTGCGTCTAAAATTTTAGTAAGTCTTTTATATACTAACTAATGTTTACATTTAATTTTTGGCTTGCTTTGGTTATTTATTTGAATGGAACGCAATAACACCCGTTTATTTACATTGTTTTTCAATATTCATTAATCATTATTTTGTATGCATAAAAATGTACTTTTAGTCTAAAGAAATCAGGGATATTTTGAAGTTATACGTACATATTTACAATTTATAGCTTAAGGAAACCAAATAAACATTAATTAAATTGTTTTCTTACTTAGTCGTAATTTCGCTAATGAGCTGAACTCTTCGGTTCCGTTTCATAAAATTCCTTTTTAAACCAACTGCCTTGACAATTTACTAGTGATTTCCCTTTAGAATCGCATCCTTTGAGACTAGTTAACTTATTTATGATACAACCATGGCAGATCCCAATTAAGTAACGCAGTAAAAATGTTTCTTATCTGTCAAAGGCGAATTCTGTGCATTCTATTTACACAATTCTTGCAACGTTTTCATCAAAATATCCGATATGCTGGAACCTATACGTGACTTTCAATATTAATGTACAGCCAGATGGAAAATAAACATGAATCAAGTTCGGATAGTAGGGGAATTCGTGTGAGTAGTCCTGTAAATATTGCCTAGCTGATGAATGACCTTCTCCAACATCCTTGCTCTGTGATATTATGTATTTAAATCGAGTAAAATCTTAGTTTGTAGCCTCCTTTATAGCAAAAAATCCAAGCAGCCAGGCGACTCAGGTTTTGTCCTCCGGCACTTTGGTGGCACTAATTGAGCTGCTGACTCCGATGAAGCCGACCCCTGATTTGGGTCCTGTCGGCCCGCCTCCTTCTGCTCCTGGCTGCGAGCCCGATGTCCTTGCGGTGGCCTCCTTGCTGGCAATCGGCTGGCAGATGTCCCTGGCCAGTGCAAATTTAATAATCCACAGAAGTGTCAGAAGCGTTGAAACATTCCGCCAGTGCAAATAGCCGTGACATCCAATTAGCGCACTCCAGCTGACACTGCCCGACTTAATGGCCGAAGCGGAATATTCACCTGCCGATCAGAACGGAATGGAACAAGTTATTCGACAGCGCAGAGTGTTGCGGTTTTCCGACACCGGCATAAATCCCGCCGTGGTCGCAAAAACTAATTCAATAATGACACTGCAATCCGCCCAATTTCCCCGAACCCAAATCGCACCCAATCCGCAGCCATCACAATCAATTTTTGACTAAAAATTAAATCTACACGGACACGCGACTCCAGTCCGGCTCAACTCGTCCGCATTCGATTGGATAAATAAAGTGACCATTGTAATTAAATATTTCTATTCAAAAATTGAACGGCAAACATGAGTGGGTGTCTGTGCGTTTGCATGCGGTTTGTGTACGCCCGTGCGGCTGGTTCGCGAATTTCATGTATGGCTAATACAGCTGATGGATATTTGTGGCATTCGCCCGAAATGTGCACACGGCAAATATTGGTCCGAAATGAACTGAGCGTTTCAAGGTAAATAAAGCTGGATCATGATCCCCCAGGCGGTGCATATGAGCTAAATTCTCAATAGGCAGTGCGAAGAAATATTTAATAATATTGATTTCTAACTTACACTAGCAAATTAAAGTTCCTTGTCGCATAAAGGAAACTTGACTTTACGGGAACAGTATGTTTAAATTGATCAAATTATCGTCCCTTAATTTTCGCATGTCAATAATGAGCCTACAAGCTTACCCCAATTAGGCAAAATTAATTATCAGTTTCGCAGCACTAGCTCTTTCATTTAACCCCCCCAGCATCAATTACCATAACCACTATGCGTATACGTATCCGATGGCAACGGTAACAAAATGATGCGAGTCATCAGAAAATGAGTCTAAAACAAGCTGCGGTCTGCGGAATCAGTTATGCAATATGGCGTAGCCCGTCGAATATGTATGAAATTACTTATTTAAAATAATTAAACTTGAATAAATTTAAAAGCCAACCACACGCTGACATTGCCACTTTGCGAGGCGCAGGGGAGAGTGCCGAGTGAATAAGCAAATTAATTATGCCACCGAAAAGGGCTAGGTTCAGGATAGCTGATTTAATAAATCACAGAGAGGAGTGCAATTAAAATAAAAATCCCTGAATAAATAAATGATAATATCATTAAGTTATTAATAATCATTTGTCATGACACAACATTGCGCCAACGGCAACAAAAATTGTAATATGCCACAACAATTGTGCCGCAGAAATGACATTAAGTTTATTAACCTTTTCGCACTTGCACACGATTCGTTGAAAATTTTAATAAAATTATGTAAAAAGCGCAAAGTGGGGGCAAAGAGGACTGTTTTCTGACTGAAATTTCATTATTCTCTGGCACTCAGCCAAGCAAACACACACACCCACACACACACTCAGCGACTCCCACACATATCTCTGGAGCATTGTTTTTCATTATCCTCGGCTTTAACATCCTTTCACTCATTTGCCCGGCTTAACAACAACAGCAGCAGCAAAAAAAAGGGGTGGCAAGCGGCCTGTAAGCCTTTCTTTTATCTGCGTCAATTAGTCGAATATTAAAAATACATTAATTCCTTGTTATAAATGATGTTTGCTCTCACCCCGCATCGCGGCCATTTCGCAGAAAATTAATTTGTGAATTTAATTTTAAAATCCCGGCAAAAGCGTCGCTCTCGTCGATTGTTTGCCCTTTCTGACCTAGACACAAGCACCACTCGAAAGCCGCCCGCAGACGAGTCGGCGTTTTTATGGCCATTATTTGTAGCGCGACAATCGTCACTCGGCCCTTTTCCCTTTCAGCCTAGAATCAACTTGTACCTGTCTGCCCGAATATATCCTGCTGCGGGTCCTTGTCCTCCGTCAGGTGTCATCAGTCACAATCGCTCGGCATTTGTTTTGCCGGATCTCAGCCGAGTGTGAGCGAACACTCCACTCTGTCGAATCGTATTGTCAGCTGCTGAAGAGCCTTTAAGTAGCGTGCTTCGAACGGAGTGCGACAGGCTACAAATAGCAGTCAAACACAAACACACAGGACTCGTCGCAGGACATGTCGCAGTTGACAGCCGGGAACAGGAACTGGATCAGAAATAGGAACGACAACACAGCCATCAGACGGGATGGACAAACCATTTAAATGCAGGCGGAAATTTGTGGCAACAATCCCACACGGATAAAAATTATGCAAAACACCATCGATTGCATTATTGCACAACAAATAAGTCTCAAAGAGAAAACCCCTTTTAATTATATTAAATGCGAGTGGGTGTGCAGGACTTTTTCAGTATTATTGTTGGATAACAAAGAAAAAGCTTTGTTTTCAAAAGATAATTAAAATACAACCGAGTCGAGTGGAAATTTTCCGAAAAAATTAAGCGCAGTCGGAAAAAATTCTATAATTTATGTGTGGTGAAATAAATAAAATATAAAAAAAGTTTATGGAAGCAACGGGTATCGATGAACGATATGGCCATCAGTTAAACAATATTTATGACCATAGTTTCAGCTAATAGAAACAATACCACCCGAGGGCAATTTCAAAACGTATTGTTCTCACGTTTTTTTTCGGTGTAAGCCAACAGCGAGGCAAATAGAGATGGGGAGTCAGAAAAATGGACAGATAGCTAACCATTACGGAGCGACATTTATAGGTCAGTCATCGTAGTCTGCAGCATCACTGTCATTGTTGTAGGCGTCCTTGGTCCTCGGACTCAACAGCTTCCCTGATGCCTGGCGGACATTGAGCAAATAACGCAATTGTGGCCATTTCGAGATAACAATAAAACTGCAACTGTTTCTTTACTGGTACCGACTCTTTCGGTTTGGTTTTCGGTTTCATTACGAGTCGGTTCGTTTCGTTTCGCTGGCATTGTGTTTGCAATTGTAGGAAATTGTGTAAACAAAATAAAAACCCTTTCAAATGGTTGCAACAGTGGTTTGTGGCCATTGAAAAGGGGAAACAGAAATTTGTGTTAAATTTTCTGTGCCTTGTGGCGGTTTTGATTCGATCATTTTAGCTTCGGATGAGTGCAATTTACCTTTGTAATTGGTGGGCCTTCATAATTCGGGTTGCTTGTCTCACTGTGCGGATATTTCGCGAAAATCAAAAGTCAAACCGAACACAAACGCATCCAAATAAAATTCAATTAGGCTAAATGAAAACTTAATTCAATTGCTCTGCCGTACAGACAGACAAACAGTTAAAGCAGCCCCACCATCGACCTCACCTCTGCCACCCACTGAATCACCCACCCAATTTACACCCCTTTCTCCTTTTCCCGCTCCCTTACTCTTTCCCTTTCCCTTACCGTTCAGCACGTGGAGCACAATGGTGCGGGGGGCACTGTTCGAGGGGCTGCACGTGTAGTTGCCGGAATCCAGTTTGACTACGGCCGGAATGATGAGAGAAGCCGTCTGCAATGATATAATAAGAGCACATTCAGACAGAGCCAGACACATATGGGTACAGTGGAGATTCCTTTAAGGCAACAGAGGTAGTTAAGTATATTTTAGAAAGCCAAGATGATTAACTAGGCACACAAATAGCAAGGGACGTGTGGTAAAGTAACATACATTAACATTTTAAAGTATTATTTATTGAACTAAAAATTCAACATAATTTTCATTAACTTACTTGGTTGTTGGATAATAAATTGTTAGAAATACTGAGTTTATATAAGTTTATATTATTATATTTACATTTACATTAAAAAAGGTAACCATAAATATAACTTAATATTTTTTATCAAACGTTAGTTTAATAAAGTTCATTTTGACTGTATTTATGTAGGTATATGATTTTCGTTCATCTGACGAGACAGCGGACAGACGACAGAGAGTGTGGCAGGTGCGAATTGCCGGGGCCGTATTAAAAATGATAATTTGACAAACGTTGACAATAAGAATTTAATAAAAATTATTTTACCTGCCTCGACTTCACGGCAATTTGCGTAATGAAAAGGCATTTAATGGGAGCGCTTTTCAGTGGGCAAATTGGTAGGCGAAAGCTGGGGTGCGGAATGAATGCGGTAAGCCACTTACTGTTATCTGCTTAATGAAACTGCTGCTTGGCAGCATGGTTGTTGTCGTTGTGGCAGCCGTCGTTGCTGCAGCCTCTGTTGTCGACAGCCAGGTTGTTGCCGCAGTGGAGTCACCTGTCGCCACAGTTGTTGCTGTTGCTGCTGCTGCTGCAGTTGCTGCCGCTGCTAAGGAGGCTGCAGCTGCCGAGGTGAGGAGTCCTGCTCCTGTCGTCGTCCCCGAAGTCGAAGATGTGGCATCCACATCGGCAAGCAGCTGGGCTGTCGACGTCTCCGTGACAAAAGCCACTCCCGACTCGGCCACATCATTCTGGGACATGGCATCTAAAATATATGAACGTGTTATGGTTACTAAACCATTAACCGACTCCGAGGATGTGGCTCCTGCTGTTGATCCTGTGGCTGTCGTCTGTGCTGTTGTTGGTGTTGATGGTGGTGTTGCTGCCGTTGTAGTGGTGGTGGTCGTGGTTGTTGTTGTTGTTGTGGTGGTGGTGGTGCTGGTTGTCGGCACTTCCGCTGGCAGATCGATGCGTTCAATTTCCGTACGCCAGCCGCGACGATTATGCAAATAGATTTGCTTCTGATTGTAAAACCAATTAATGAAAAGCGGCGGCTCCAGAGCCTGGCTAATTATGCAACGCAATTTCACTTGACTTCCGGCCTTCACATGTCGCGTTGACTCGCCAATTAATTCGGTTTTCGGCTCTGCAAAGGCAGACACAGACAGGGAAAGTGAGATGGATGTAGTAGTGGACTCCCAAGGACTCACACACAGACACGTTGCAAGTTTGCTCTCGAAAGTGCAACGGTCATTGATTTATTGTCTCTGACATTGCAGATTTATAGGTGTGTGGTCAGGGGTTTGAGTTTCAGTTTGGGTCGTGATTTGATTTTGGCAGCGGTTTTGCCGGATTGGTTGGACGAGAATTAAGGGGCTTTAAAGTGGTTTTACCCGGGCATTTCAATTGCATGTCGACTATTGCCAGAACAAATATATTCAATTACTAACATTTAAATGTGCAAATGATAATTTTTTCCACACAAAATACATAAGATAAATAAACGGAAAGTGTAAATATTTATATTTTTACGCCATATTTGTTACATTAACCATGTTCAGTTTTGCCCGAATAAGTATGCTACAAAATTTAATCGCATTATAAATACTCACCCACAATCCTTAGATGAACAATTGCACTGGCTTTGGGCTCCGTAGACACCTGACACTCGTAGGTTCCTTCATCCTTCAGCTGAACGTACTTAATTTGCAGAGACCAGCGTTCGGGATTCGGAGAGAATACCGATTGAAAGCGCTGATCTGCGATGAAGGTGGTTTGATCCACGGTGAGAATGTGGCCATCTCTCATCCGCAGCCAGGAAATCGGCTTCTTCACCAGCTGCTTAACCTGCGCAAATGAGAATGAAAGTTTACTTTCGATTATCGGGGAAATCATTCGAATGGGCGGCTTCAATTTTTAAAATTAATTCAATTATCCCACACAGAGAAAGCAATTTGGAAAGTAAATCCCAGCAGTTTGACTCTGGGGAGGTTGGTCAGTTCGATGATGATGATGATGATGTCAGCAGAACTTTGCCCTGTTTGTGCTGCCCCACCTCAGCGGTATACACTTTGGTAAACTCAACGAGGCGGTTCCATGGAAAAGGGGAGATGGCTCCCTGGTAAACAATAACGATAACAAAACGACGATTCATTTGTGTCAATAATGGCAATAATAATTTAGTGGCAATTTGCCCAGGCAGCCTTCGATCGGCAGAAACAAAACAATACACACTAAATTGCCAGTCATCGATACGGAAGTGCCCGGAAACCCACCATTCCACCATCAGGTACAGATGTCTATATTTAAATATGGATATGGATTCGCAATAACCGGCATGCTCGCCTATAATTACACTGACCCAAAGCGAAAACAGCCAACCAGTTGCGAAGGGGCAAACTAAAATCTCGCTCCTCCAATCGAACTTTCCCCTCTTTCTCTCAGTGTTATTATTGGCGGGGGAGTTATTGTGGTAACTGGCCGAAACGAAGGCGTCGTGACAGAGGCAAATGACTGTCTTTGAACCACTGTCATCAACTACATTGTCGGTGTCAGGGCCCAGACAACGAGGAACTCCGACGACGACGACGAGGACAACGTCATGATTAGATACTATAATCATTTGCGTTTTATGTGCTTGTTGTTGCCGCCATTGTTGTTGTGGATGTCGCCAAGGAAGTGGCGCTGGAGCAGCCCCATTGAACCCCCACTGAACCCCCAGTAGCCGCACCCCCGTCGGAGCTATTATTGTCGGTTGAGCACGTGCTGTCAAAAACCATCTTCTTCAAATGAATATGAACATCTCCGCATGACCGACAAATCAACGAGCTGGAGTGAGCTTAGAGCTTAGAGCTTAGACACCTGCAGGGACACAACGGCATCATTAAAAGGATCTTAAATCTCAAATCTATTGCAATAAAATTATTTCCGTCTAATGATTTCTTATTAAATATTAGATTGATCCTTTTAGGGAACTTAGGATTTATTCAGACAATCTAATCATTACAGACGTTTCATTGGAATTATTGTTTTATTGTATTCAGTTGAGTTGAGCACCGTTTTGAATAATAAAGTTTATTACTTGATAAGAAAAACTTTACGGTCACGAAAGTAATTAAAGGATGCCGGCTCTTAAATTGTAAGTACTTAAACCCAATGCTATTTTTGACTGGTATTGTATACTCCACAGCACTGTCTCATTGGCTTGCAGTCCGCAATTAATACGTTAATAAATTCAGCTGCAAATTTAAGCCCTAATTAAACGCACTGCCTATAGATGAGTAGCATTCGTTGGCATGACTGTTAAATTAATCACTTCCCAGTGGAATAACGAAAGTGCAGAATTTACGTATAAACTGATTTGCTCAGATATCTGGAAAAAATTGAAAAAGCAATCGATGGAAGCCACTGTGCGGTGTGGGAGTTTATTAAATTTCGCCACAGTCTCCGCCAGGAGCGCACGGCTCTAAGGACATTATTATCGGTCTGGGCATCGACATTATACCCGGTATTAAGTGAAGATGCTTATCCAGTCGGGCCGACGAGCTTGGGCATTCAGCCAAGTCAGGACGTTCGAGTACGTGGCAAGTGTAAGTAAGTCTCCAGCCGTTGCGCCTCCTTTGTCCTTGCGGCTGACAAATATCCCTGTGTGGCCTGGTTTTCCCTTGCAAAGGTTCCCGCCCGGCATTAGCTAATTTAAATTTTTCGCTGCCTGTGTAGATTGCGTTTAATTCCGCCGTAAAGTGATGGCCTGTCGACACTTATCAAGATGCCCGACTGTTTGCCATTTAAATATTGTTAATTAGTTTTAGCTGCAGTTCAAACGGCCCCGAAAACTGGGTTTCCGGGTGTCCCGAGTCTAGAAACTGCCATATCCACATCCACAAGCATTTCCACTTCCTACGCTCGATGGGTTTTATGTTCCCCCGACTGTCGTCATCACCCGCTACAGATTGAGATTCGCGTGAGCATCGTTTTCCATCACAGTCGAGCAGACAACAAAGTTTGCTCATAACATTGCGAATTTTCGTCTAAACTTGTTTGCAAATAATTTCTTTTATTTTGTTGATTCTCCCCGGTCTTCTGTGCCGCGTCTTCCTCTTTCTTTTCACACAACAATACACCTCAAAGTGCCTGCTTTCATATCTTCACCAAAATAACACAGCACAACAAAAAAACACAAAAATGAAAGAAAACTTTTCGCTGAGTTGCAAAAAAAAAAAAATAACAAGAAAAGAATGACAGCCCGTTGGATGGGAGAGTCTGTCGATTCTGGTAAAAAATATTCAAGTGCTTGCAGGCAAAGCATTTTTGTGGCTTTCCCCCTGCTCAATATCCAGGACCCTTCCAATCCTCGATTTCCCCCCGATTCGTTATCCTTCAGCTGCTTTCTTTGTGACGCCCACGGTCTCAAAATGTATTATTAATTGATTAGGTTTAAGCAGATTTTGAGATTATTCCGGGCATATAAATATATACACGATGCGCTGTGCCAACAGCCAAAAGCGAATATGGGATATCCATGGTTGTGTGTGTGTATTCAAATTATCTGATAAATTTTTTATACTAGATTGTTTTTCGATTTCAGCGCGGAAGGTTATGGAAACGTTTAGCCGGGGGAAGTTTGTATATTTACTTTATCTAGAATTGGTTAGAAAAATGCAAAAATATTAAGTTTATGCTAAAACCTTTACTGTTGACTAATATAATGAGATGACATAGTCAACTTTTGTTAAAAAACTTATAACTTGTTCAATTGCTTAATTTTTCCAGTAGATTTCACTTGACTGATCAAAGCTTAGATTTCCTTTTTATTTACTAAATTAAAGATACAAATACATAAATAAAACTTAAAATATGAGAAGTAAATTTTATAAATGCAGCAAAAGGTAAGTAGATAAAATTCTTTACGCTATTCCTGATGCTCGCTGCATATTTTAATTAACTCGACACCTCATCCCCCCGTCGCTTTTCTTCACAGCTCAGTTCCTTTGAACAGGCATCCCAAAGACTTATATATGTTTGTACGCTTCTGTGTTTGGCCATCTGCAGCCGTCAGTCGGATGGACTATTTATTCCTGCAACTTTAAGTTTGCTGCACGCTTTAGCAGTAATTTCCTGTCCAAACAGTAACCAGTAAATAGTAACTCTGGAAGTGGCAGCGATAGAATCCTGCAGCGCCAATTATAATTTGCAATCCGAAGCGCGGATGTGCGGATGTGCGGATGCAGCAGGCATGGAGCCAAGGAACGACGGGTAACTAAGTTATTAGCGGATGCCAAAGGAGCTCACTCTCCTCTTCTTTTTGTGCGTATATAAATGTGTACTTATGTACGAGCGGATGTTTAAGCGTACATAACGACAACTATTTGGGTCATCGTTTTTGAGCAGTCCCGAACAAAAATGTGTCGCCTTTAGCTCCTTCTGCAATATACTCTTTTGACGGGGCGTATAAATTTGGCCCAGAAGCTTGTAAACTAGTCATGGAGAACAAATCCATTCAGCACTTTCGAGAAATTCTTGCTATCTTTGCATTCGAAGTTAAGTTATGTCATTTCAGCTTAAATCAATTATCTGCTGGAATTTTGTTGTATGAGACTTCCTAGCTCCCCAAATAAAAAATGAAAATCTACACCAAACTTATAAATTCTACCAAAAAATATCTTAACTTTTTTTTTATTTAATTAATAAGAAATTAGTTTTTCTTATATCTATACGCCAAAAAATTTGGAAAACGCTTTTATTCACTCTAAAGCTTTGCTACTTTACTTTGCTAGAACCACTTTTTATGAGTTTATAGTTCTTGGACTTTTAAAATAATATTCAAGTGTATCCATCTGCTTATGTATGCCCTTTGGCCAGGGCGTGGCATCGACATCAGCATCGGCAATTTCCGGTTTTGTTTTCGCTCAGTTCCGACAGCGGCCAGCGTAAATTAGTTCAAAGCTCTAAAATGGCGAAAAAAGGAGAGCGGAAGTCGAGCCAATCGATGCCACATCCCCTGGGCTCAACATCTCCCTTTTCGGCTTCCATTTTCCCTTTGTTGCCGAACTGATTGAGCCCAGGGAGAATTGGAGTATCAGCTGCTTATTATAAATTATCAATGATTAATAAAAATGCTTCTGTAAATATTTGCAGAGCCAACAATTTGGCGTAGAACTTCTCTCTGATGGATTGTTCGGTAAACAAAGGAGCCTGAAAGAGTTTGCTCGAGCTGGCTGATTGAATTTCCAAGAAATTTCTCAGCCCGTTGAACCTCAAATATCCCTTCAATTATTCCATCCAGAGATTTGCGAACTCACAATTCAGCGTGGCGACATTCTTGTTGTTCGATTTTGATTCCAACAGGGAAATCTAATCAGGATCTCTGCCTAATTAGAGGCAACCTCACGTTTGCAGTGACACAGGAAAAAATCATTGCTCTGCTTAACTATGTTTGAAAGTACTTTCGCGCACTAAAAATCACGCCTTTAAATTTTGAAAAAATCATTATATTCAGTTAAATTATTTAGTGCCTTTTCTGTGTCAAATTTAAGGATTGAATTTAAATAAAAAGAGACCACGCTGTAACGAGTGCCAACCTATGCTAAAAACCTATTCAATAAACATAATATCATAAAAGCGATTTTCCCCATTTTAATCGGATTTGAATGAGTAATTTTGTGTATGGTACAAAATCCAAATACCTGGACTTTTTAGTAACAAAAAATCATTTTATTTATTAGTCAGTATGACCCTGGCAGCAACTTTGATATGTTTAAACTGACAGATTTTTCGAGGTAAATAGGACAAACATTTATAACGAAATCATTCAAGTTCTTTGTAAGCCTATTGTCATTTTAGGTAGATTAAATATTCTTTGTGAGTCTGAACTTTTAAATATAAGTTATTTGTTAGTCAGTATGACCCTGGCAGCAACTATGATATGTTTAAACTGACAGATTATTCGAGGTAAATTTGTGTGATAGTACAAACATTTATAATGAAATCATTCAAGTTCTTTGTAAACCTATTGTCATTTTAGGTAGATTAAATATTCTTTGTGAGTCTGAACTTTTAAATATAAGCATTCAGATTCAATATATATATATATGCATTTTAGGAAAAACATTTTTGCACTGTGTAGAGCTGCTCAACTTACATTGCACGGCAGATAGGCATGGGTGCCGGCCTGGCTAATTATTGTCTGGTAATCATCTATTGTTGGCGGTGGCTTCAGCGTTGTTGTTGCCACCGGTCGGCGGGTTGTTCTCCTCGTTGTTGTTGTCGGCGCTGCTGGTGTTGTTGGGGCAGGTTCTGTGGCGGTTGCTGCTGCTACTGCTGCTGCTGCTGCTGCGGTGGCATCGAATGCCGTTGCATTGGGGCCACTGGAAGAAGGGGAAGCTCCTGCAGATGTGGCGTTGTCCTGCGTGATGATGTAGCTCTGCTGCTCGTGGATATTGCGATTGCTCATAATCAGATTCGCCTCGAGGGCAGCGGTCAGCCGCTGATCGCCATTGTTGTTAATGTTATTAATGGCCACATTGTTGCGGGAGCGATTCGGGGCTGCATCCAAGGCTGCAGCCATTGTTGGCCCAAATGCGCTGGCTTTGTCCGCCGTTTGGGCCATTTGCGTTGTCGCCGGAATTAATGCCTCGCGCCTTGATTGAGTCCTTTGAAATGCTCGCCCATTTGTTCCATTGCTGTTTAATATTGATGTCTCCTCCGACTGCCCTCTGATAGCTGGATAATGGGAGAAAAAAGGAAAATGAATAGGTTGTGAGTGGAAATTAATGACTTAGTGTTTTGTTTTCTCTCCCTGTTGTCCCCCGACCAACTTAGCTGTATATATTTCAAATGCCATGATCCCCATTTATCTGGAATACTCGTTACGACAATTAAAACGATTTACGACCCCGACATTTTTGTTCAATAAATTAATCTTCACTTTTCGGCAGCCCACCTCGGCCCAAAATAGACGAAAAGTTTAAGTTGAGTTTCGAGGCGAATGAAATTAATTAGCTAATTACGAACTTGAATTGATTTGCATGTACTTTGCGAGAGCTGGAGTGGAGCTCTCGATGACAGCAAAGTTTCGAGGAGTGTTTGGCGGGCCAAAAGCTGATAATTGGCATTAAACTGTTCCCTCGTAACCTTGGCAACTCATAAGGCGCCAACTGTTGAAGGTGAAAAGGGCCACGCCCCAATGTCCTCCACCTGGAATCGCAGTAAAATGTATATGCATGGGAAAATCAACTATAAATTATACGCCTTTGACATACGATTCGGGACCCTTTGGGGCTTCCCGGATGCAGATTGCTGGCTGCAGCTCCCCATACACATGCAACGCGTAAATTTGCCAAATTGGCGCCATAAATTTCGAAGGAAACTTTTCGAAAGTCAAAGATAGAAACAGCCAGAGAAAGGGAAAGTAAAAGTGCGTGGGTGAGCGTTAGGGTGGTAAAATACTTGGCAGTATGTTGATAAGAAAGTAAGCCAAAGGTTGGCAATAACTTTTTCCGCTGTGATTTAAATTGAATGAAACTTTGTGCCCTGGAGTCACAGAGTAAATAAGTGTGCAAGATTATTGCGAAAATGGCCAAAAAGAGTTGGTGGGATAAACAACGTATTCGGTACAGCCATGTACCTGTACATCAATATTGGTTCTTGGGGAAGGCATACAATATATTTATGCATGGCCACAAAGATAAATCGTATATTATTTCTACTATTTAAAATCATTAATTTAAGAATCAGCAACACATTTTTCAGCAATACCGTAATAAGTGAAGGATATCTTTAAGTCCATCCACCCAACTTGGTTTATTTCCACCGCACAACAGAGTGTGTGTAACGCGGTCTTAATTAACTAATGAACAGAGATCACACAGATACACAGAGAAAAATGGGAATCATGAAGTGCCCTTTGCCAGCCATTGAATCTGGAGTGGAATACGGCAAAGTGGAGAGGAGTCGAGTGCTCCGGCATTTTCTAATCAAGTTCAGCGTATTTTGCCGGGCTCAAAGTAAATGCAAAACTCTGGAAGCCTCTTTTAACGATTCCAGCCAATTCGTGCGTTCCCAGCGGGAAAAGAGATGTGGAAAATATGCTATTTTTCAGTGGTTTCTTCATACAAGCGGAAGGGCAAAAACCTCCTTCACCCCTTACATTTTTGCCGTCTCTCCTTTCAAAATACACGGGGTGACACACAAAAGGAAGGGGTAAAGGAGGTTTCTATGTAAAAATCCACAGGTTTCAGAAACCCACCCTTATTTAGCGGACCAAAATTTTCAACTCCTACCCCTACGCCTGCTAAAAGAAGCAGGATTTCCAGTAGTCTTAAAACCGAAAACCTACTTCTAAAAACCTACTTCTCACTTTCCCGCTGGGTTGTCTGTGTGCCTCTCTCTTCTCTCTGTATGTGTGTGTGAGTGGGAGAAAGTGTCTGTGCGACAGTGTGTGTGCGTTATCATGTTTTATGTTTATGCTTCGTGTACGTGCAATAAAGATAAAGCGATTGCATATAAAAAACTTTTTAATTGCCTGCACTAATGATGCACTGCAGCCAACTTGATTATAATAAAGTTACAAAAATTCCATTTCCCTTGAAGCACAGTGGTCAAAGAAAAAAGAAAATCAACAAGCTGGATGTCAAAGCAAAATATTTTTGATATTCTTTGGTCCTTCATTACGCATGTAATTTAAACTTGTTTTGTAAGCATTAAAATGCTTTCAGAATTGTCTTTTGAAATGAAAAAAAGCTGTATTTAAAACAAATTTATTTACAACACGTTCAGAGTTACAAAGGCACCTGGTTAAAATTTATTTAATGTAAAACTGTATATTTTTTATGAAGTCCTGAAATGATTTATTATTCGTTATTATGCTGGTTAAGCCTTGAATGTTTGTAGGTATCTCTTTTGAACCAGTAATTTAAAACAAACCGAATTTTTAAATAGTTAATGAACACCAACATATCCTCCTTTATCATATTTTAAAATGCAGTACGGCATGTTCGAAGTATTCACTTTATCAGCAGTAAATTAGTGAAAAGTTTTTCTGTTTTTCTGCTCGTAGACCACTGTCAGATGCTTCAACTCATTTGCCCGCAAAGCTTATAAAAACAAACAGCTGCCGTCTGAGGGTCCGAGGCCCTCGGAAAAGGACGAGTAACGCGGAACTGGAAGTGGGCGAGAAAAAGGCGTGTCAGCCAGCGATGAAACAAATCAAAACAGTATAAAAAAGTGCAATAAAACAAGCGAATTACTGAAAAGTCCGAGGAACAGGCTCGGCGCAAAGAAAAAATGAAAACAAAATAATAAACTGAAAATATTGCGAAAAAAATTATCATTTAGGGCAGCGCTGCATAGGGGTATTAAGGATATTAGGGGACCAAAAAAGACGGAAGGACACGCGACAACTGGCAGAGCCCTAAAAAATTTGCTTAATCTTTCCGCGACAAGACAGAGGGGAAAGTCGCAAACTAAAAAGTTGTAAAAACAGACACGAACACAGCCCCCCACTCCACTGTAAAAACAAATTGTGCGCAAGAGAAAAAAATAAAAAGGAGACACACAGAGACAGGGAATGAGGAAAATCAAGTCGAGCACTTGACAGAGGATGGAGGAAAACTTGCGTAATGAGCCCGGGGGTGGGGGGAAAGGAGAATGTGTTGGGGGGAAAACTCTCACACATAAAATGAGCCTCATCATGCAGAATTTCATTGACTCGGGGACCGGGGAAAAGCTGCTGGGACTGCAAGGAAACTTGAGCTTCCTCCTTACACTAAAATTAACCGAGCAGGCTCCCAAGTCCCGCGGGCATTTTTAGTCGAAAGTGTTTTAATCAAACGCCTCTCTACACTTTCCTCGGCCGGAAGCGAGTTGAGTTCGCCGGAGTCTAAGTTTGTCCGCCGTTGTTATTGTTCCGCAGTTGCTTGTTTTTGTTTGTTCGCCTCTGTTATTGTTATGGCAACAATAATAAGAACAACAGGAAAAAGAAAAACTATGTGAAAAAGCGCAGCTGAGCAGAGGAAAATTTTCGCACACATTATTTTTTGCACATTTTCCTTTAATAATTTTATGTTAATTTCTGGCAAACTTGATTCCTTTTTTTCTCTGCCAATTTGAAATATGTATGTTTTTTATATCCATATCGAATTTTAGCAAATAAGGAAAAACGAGAGCTAACTCACAAATTAAAATGAATTGGGAATATATATACACTTTTTGTTAGATCATAAATTTATAATTTATTCATATATATTTCAGTATCAATTTAAGTTTTTAGGTTGAGGTTGAATGCTGCTTGTGATAATATTGAAAAATTGCGATAAACTTTTTCTAACCTTGACATCTTTTTGAAATCATAAAAAATGTACATTTAAAAGAATTTAAATGATTGGCGTAAGAAATGTGTTTTTATGGTTCAATTTTTTGCAATTAAATACTTTATTTCGCAAGAATATTTGTCTATGAACTATGTTGTCCAAGAACTAGTGTATCTTTTATTTTACTTCAGAGGAAAATCGTCTTACAGCATCAATCGAAATTGAATAACAAAGTAAATTTTTATTATCTTGGATATTGGCTTGAAAGCTCCTTAAAGATATTTCTTTCAGTGTTTGCCCCCTGCAGGCTGACTGATGTCCGGGAAGCGCCTTCGTTGTGTCCGTCTCGGCTGACAACATTTCGACACTTTTCCTAATTATGATGGGCATGTTGCCGGGCTGATGAGGCTAATACTCGGCCCTGATGGTGATGATGATGATGGAAATTGGCTTAACCCCAAGGCGCCCGGCGGCAGTTATGGAGCGGCGTAATCTCTCCCCGGCCAACGCGAGTTAACGCGATGCCAGGAGGACTCTCGGCCGGACACTCTCATCAAAATGCCAGTCTAGTTTGCCGCCGTAATGATGACAGCACCGGAGAAAGTGGGCGGGGCCGAAAAACAGGCCGTAACTTTGTGTAATAATTGTTGTTAAGCGTTTAAGTCGGGCGTGCCACTTTGGCGGCTAACCAAGTGGCATCTCGTGGGAAAATAACCCGAGACTTGAGCAACTTATCGCTACCGCAAGTCAGTTCGGCCAAAAAGCCAACAAAGGGGGGCTTTTCGAGTGGCGAGGGCCAGAACCTGCGGTTGAGTTGGGTCCGTCCGCTTTTGGGCAGGCAGGCTCTTGTGAGTTACTTGACTTTTTGCTACAAGCATTCAATGGTGCTCAACTGGGCAGCTGAATTTGATTAAACAAAAGTAAAAGTTTTTAAACTTTTTTCGCTCTTCCACTTTTGGCCAGCGCAGTCCATCCTTTTCGGCCCGCTTGTTGCCCTGATTGTTGTTATTTCCCGTTCAATTGGCTGAATCTCCTCAAGCGTTTCGTCAATCACTTTCATGGCCAGAAGAATCGAACAGCTTGCGAGGGGAGGCAAGAGACCGAAAAAAATAGGGCTAAGCGAGGCGGTGGATAGCAAAGTTGCGAGCTTTTAACACAATTTAAATCATCCAAAGGCACCCCTTAAAAGTCCTGTTCCTGCCTCGCCACCCACTGCAAATTCCTCCCATCCATCGGCCTTGCTGCAGTTTTTTCCACTGCTTCCGAACTTTTCTATCGTAAAAACAAAATTCTGATAGGGCAAATGGGTGAGGACGGGAAAGAGGTCGAGGGGGGAATGCAGCGTTTGATCGAGTTTGGTTCATTGATGAAAATGTCGAGAGTCACTTTCGTTATGCTTTAGTTTTAACTTTTAGTTTAGCAATTTCTGACTTTTCATGTTGCCATTTTGATTTTAATTACCTTTCTCTCTCTTGTTTTCCATAGTCCCTTTTTTTTGGTGTTTTTATTTGACGAGCGTTGTAGCCCAAGGACTCGCCCCCTTAACGGTCTTTTTTAATTCCTTTTTTCAGGGGAAAGGTACCAATCGTGGACAATTTGGGAAAACCATTAATTGGTGGAGAAAAGTTAACCGCTCAACGGACTTAAGCGATTGCAATTTTCGTCTTTTGGCTTTTCCCATTACAAATGTTTATTTTTGTGACCCACATAATGACTTCATTATCTAGGATTATTCTCTTTAACTACTCTGTGACCATTTTGAAATATTTTCTCTTAAGCCGGAAAGTGTTTACAAAATTTATATTCTTATTCTACCTTTAACTTAAACATATGCTAAGATATGTTGTAAATATCCAAGGCTAAGATAAAGTTCTGTAAATTTCTGCCCGCTTAGCTCTGTTGCAAGCATACCGTCATAATTTAAATTGACCCTGACAAACCAGGCGAAAAAGTCCCAAGTAAGTAGCCCCGCTCCCCAGGCGCACCTCTCCCCTCGCCTCAGACAGGCTGCGCTAAAATATGCTCAAAGGCCAAAGACGTACGGCAGGAAATGCCTTAAATTCGCCCACAAAATGCTTTTAAGCCGCGCATATCAAATTGTTTTCCATGAAAACACGGAGAAAAGATTGGAGAAAGGGCCCGGGAGACGGGGATCCACCGACGAGTCATTTAATATGCGACAAATGTATCGTAAGAAATAATTTCATATTTGACGCAGCTTACCCGGCAAGCAGATGAGCAGGGCCAACAGGATCAGGCGCCGCGGCATCTTGGCCAACTCCATTAAAGTGCCAAGCAAATTGATAATCCTTGCTCCGTGTCGAGTCTGGGATTGAACGTGTTTCGCGCTACCCGGGCTGCCGATTCGCTTCCTTGCTCCTTGGTCGCGGTCCTTGGCCAGCTAAATCCTTTGGCCTTAACTGGGTCACATTGGCTGTCTGGCGGCGTTGGGCCGCTGGAGCCTGTGTAAATTTATCCCTGCCTCGACGGGGATTCCGTTGCGCTGTTTTTCGCTGTTGTTGCTTGTTGGATGTTGCTCTTGTTAATATCGCGCATACGCCCTGACACGAACTGCTGCAATATCTTCCGCTGGCTCGCGTTGCTGGCGGTACTTGGGCGCCCAAAATCGCAGGGTTAACATATTTTCAAATTGCACTTGCACGGTAAGCTTGTCGGGGCAATCTAAAATAACTAAAAGCGCAAAAAAATGTCATATGGCAAACGGAAGCTGGTAGCTGGTAGCTGAAGTTGAGCGGCAAGAACAACACGTGGCCAATTTTAAATATTCCCACAATGTGCCCGTCGAGCTGTTTGCCATCCTACGTTTTAAGTCCCATATTCCAACATTCTCTGGCTCCTCTGGCCCGTGGCCCAGTTTATGGCCGGCATTTTGCGCCGCGTCCTGTTTTTGATATGTTTGTGTAAGTTTTCGGATGGCTTGGGTAATGTGGGTGCTCTTGGCATTAGTTGCCCAAACGAGGTGTTCTAGTTTTCTTCGGACATTGCAATCTTATGCGGCAGATTTGTAAAATAAGTATTGTGTAAATGCAAATATAATATGCATAGTTCAACATTTATTCAGGGCTGGTGACAGCAATAACATTTAAACAAGGAATCCATGGGATTTAAGTGCTAAAAAACAAAGTTCTTTACATTTTCAATAAATATTATATCAAAAAGGAACCCGAATAAAAAAGGATTCATTTTCCCTTTTTATAAATAGCAAAGCAACATAGGCTTAAGTAATTGAAATACAGAACTGTTTGAAAAGGTCTTGCATTTATGGTCTAAAAATCCAGGGGATTAGAAGCGATTTACTGGCGAATATGGTTCTCGGAACTCGAGCACATGTAGTTGTGTAAGCTCGAGCGGGGCCATTCCATTTGGCCAACTTCTGTTGCCGTCGTTTGCTCGGTTTCCCAGCCACTGCGGCCGCTTGTGTTACCTCATCTTTCTTTTACGCCCCAGACTATTTGGCATTAACGAAATTTATTTATGCGGGTGTTTAGTGGGGCGTAAAAGGAGTACATATGGCCGTCCGGGCGGGCGGCCACGCCCACCGGGCCAACTTACGGATGCAGGACACGCGCAGGATGAATTGAAAGGATTCTCGGTGGCTAGCCAAGGTGTAGGTAGGTCGGAGCTGTCCAAGTCTGGCCAGGAATAATGATTTAAATGCTGTTTTGTCTCTGCCAACAGATGGGCTCGCAGTCGAGGCCAAAGTAGGACGACTACAGCCAAAGTCAGAGTCAGAGTCAGAGTTTGAGAAATGCCAGGCATACATAAGTAATGGCGGTGGAGTAGGTGGCCCAATGAAGCGTTAACTCAAATGTTAAACAAATGTAATGTTCCGGACGACTGGGTCGTATGCCCTCAAGGATGAGAACCGGTTGGACCTTGAGCCGAAGCCAGAGCCAGAGCGTGGATAACACAAATAATATTAAATTGATTGCACAAACAAAACAGCAGCGGAAGTGTAAATGATTTAACACAATTCCTATTTCTACTCGCATTCCGCATTCCGCATCCTCGACTTTTGACTGCTGTCCGTCTGGGTTTTGGCCATCTGCTACTCAGGCACTCAGACATTTGGCGATGCTCGCTGGCGTGGAAAGCGGGAAATTCCTAGCTCTTGTAATTTAGTTTATTTTGATTGCCGTTCAATTTCGTATCTGTGTCATTAAAGCGTTATTATTTATATGATTATTTTAATGCGATGACTGTTTCGGTCATTTTGGTCACTCAAGCATTTGCTAGCTTATAAGTTTGTTAAATTAAGCAAAAAGTGGTGATTTATAATCGGTCTTTTAATTATTTTCAAAAACTGTTTAAAAGGCTTACTGGATTAATTTTATTACACTATTTTTGTTAAGTTTTTAAAAATTATTTTTGGGATTGTCATTCTCAACCATGATCACTAAGAAAAACCAAAACATGTCGTATTCGAAAGCTGATCTGTTCACTTAGGCGCAAGATTTATTGTTATTACTTGTTTACATTACAGTTCACAAAGCATTTTGTTTTCTTGTTTTATTTAGAAAAGTAGGTTATCAATAGTTTCGTTCAACAGTCACGTTGTTTATTTTTATATCCACTTAAATGTGCTTTTTCTCCGCGACACTTTAGATCGCCAAATTAGTAAAAGATCTTTCATCATTAACCATTTATAACTCTCACTGAAGAATTTTTGAACTCCGTTTGGCGGCTATATAGCGAGAAGCGAACCACGCTTGGCACCGGCTAAAAGTAAACTAAGCCAACTGCCGACACCTTAACAGGCCAAACCAATCGGGCCCGAAGTGAGCCGAAGAGCTCGGTTCGGTGGCGTATACGCAATATTCGGTAACAGCGGAAGAGAACGCGCTGCTGTAAGCGAGAGTTTACTGTTGCAGGAATGCTGGCCAACATGAGATGTTAACTTACCAAAGTCTGTCAACGAAACAAATGCAATTACACGCGTAAACTGCTCCATTGTTATTAGCCTTGTTTTATTCATTTAGGAGCAGTTAGGCAAATTCCTCATTTGGATTTAATGTGAACTCCAGACTGCAAATGCATAAAATCGGAGAGAGTCACTCGTTTTCATTTAAGCCTTGACAATTAAAGGATAAAGGGTGAGCGGGCCAAAAGAGGACTATAATCATACCATTTATAGCAGCTTAACAGTGCGATAACATAATTCCTCATTAACGTCCAACCAAAGGCGCCTGCACAACGCACGAAAAAAGTGCTGGCCAAAAAAGGAGGGCAAAAACAAAGCGGATGGAAAGGATACGAGCGAAAGTGGGACATCGTCAGCCAGAGAAAACCGCATCTTGGCCGGATATGCCTTGGCAAAGTGCAAAACACAGGATAACCGAGGATATTGCGGGCTGGCAGTGCAGGGAAAACAAAGGGCCAAATTATTATGCAGACGAACGGGCCATAGATGTCGCCGCGAATTGCGAAGACATTCGCGGCTTTGAAGGGCAGAGTTCGCTTTAGAAGGGAAGCCAACAAAATCAAAAAAAAAAAGGAAAAGCGGAAGCTTTTGCATAAAATTCAATTTGTCGTGTGCAGCAGCCATGAATATGCCGAACTCCGGCTTTAAGCCGAAACCGATGGTGCTCCCCTGGCTCCCATTCCGCCCCCAGGGCGTAACATATGCGCGAAATTACTTACGTAGTCCTGTCACTGACAGTTTCGGATCTGGAACCACCCCAGTCCACAATCCACAATCCCGAATCCCGGCCCGATCCCCAGCCCAATCCCAGCCCAATTCCCATCCAATCCCAGACCCCACAAAGGCTTGTAAAACAATGGCTGCATATATGCAGAAGACACATTCACTTTTTAATACGGCCCCACCCACACACCACCACAGCCGCATACCCACACACGCACACACAATTGCGAATTTTTTATTGTTTATGTAGTTAAATAATTGAACCACCCACGGCCACACACAGAATCATTGGCAAATTAAAACGATTTTTACATACATATATTCTTTTGTTTCACTTCACGCTGTTGTGTTGAGCAGCCGCAGCTAATTGTTTTTCACAAAACGAAAATAACTAACGACATTACTCAAAAACATTCGCCAGTAATGCAAATATGTTAAGAGTTAATTAAACGCTTTTTATTGGGGCTTGGGATGTCGATTGCCCCAATGTATTACCTTTAAAATAAAATATATTGTTACTCATTGATAAGCCTTTTTACTTAAAGTATTTAAGATTCATTTAATAAATTGAATTCCATAAATGTAGCAGAATTTTTCTTCAAAGAGGAAGTTTACTTGACTGCTCCCAAATAAAAACCTCCACCAGGCGGACATACCTTTAATCCTTTTCCGCTTTCATTCCAGCTATAAACAATTGAGCGAATTACACCTGTCAGTTCGAATGAAGAAATATTTTTCGCTTAGCTCTGCAGTCCACTCAATAGAACTCAATCATGCAAGACCCTTGAAAATGAATTCCTCCTTGCCTTTTGCACACCTTTCACTTTTTCCTCACAAGTCATTAATCACAGTTGTTGAAGAGTGGGTGGAAAAAATTAAAAAATTACTCAAAGAAGCAGATAAAAAATTGGATAAGAAAGCGCAAACTTAAATGGGTCGCTGGAATTAATGCGATTAAATTGGACAAACGCCTGCCTTGATAACAAGGGGATATTAAACTGAGATGGAAGACAGACTTTCAGATTCTTTGAGTAGAATATCTCTATAGAAGTCATATATTGAAGTGAAGAAGAAAGGAATTAAAACCTTTGTCTGAAACTGGATTTTAATTAAGCTTCGGAGTGCCAATAGCAGAAGATAATGCAGATGAGTGGAAGCAAAGAATCTCTGTTGAGGAAAATAAATCACCAAAATTGGTAAAGTATATGTAACAATAACGTTTTGGTGTAGGAACGGGTATCTAAACGGTTGCACAGTTTCAGCCCTTTTACCAGTTAATATCTGCCGAAAATCAGTGCATGAAATTTCTGGCCAGGAAGAGGCATGCCAGGCAGGAAAAACATAAATTTCTAGGCAAAATGTTCAGCAGCCGCCAATTAATTCAAAATTTATAGCCAGTCAAGCACTAAGGCATCATTGTCCACAGCCCGGCACATTCATCGTGTCTGGCTAATGTGACTCCATGGGCGGCGGTATTGGAAGGGGTCGGTGGGTTGGTCGGTTGGGGGATAATTCCAATTTGCTGCTGAAAGGAGGAGGGATTCGGGGGATGGAGGGTTGGGGGCAATGCAACAAGGGACCGCATTAGCCGCAATGGCCGTGTGTGACAGCTGGACGATGTCGCATATGAGTAGTGGGAGTAGTTGGTCCTGACTGTGTCATTTATGCATTGCCGACTGATTGATTTGGCACACTCCGGAGCCCCACAGCTCCAGGGGGTCAAGTAAATGCTCGGCCAGTGTTCCTGTGGCTGACAGCCACTCATCCCTGAAGTGTTGATCACAGCACTCCGAAAAGGGGACTAGATATGTCCACACAAGATACTGAACCTCACATATAAGATGAATTAAGAGGGAGTATTTAATCTGAACCTCATTAGTCATCAGTAAACTAATCATAGAAGAGCCACGTTTTTATATTTGCCATAAAACTCATAACGAAGTGCTGTTCATTTTCAGCAGATTATATTATTAAATAATATAAAAGCCATTCAATAAATAATTACTTTTTAAACAATACCTTATTGAGCCAAGGTATTGGTATTGGATAAAAAACAAAATAATATTCATAATATTTTGCATGCCTCATATATTATATTTATCATAATTAAATAGACCTTCTTTAGAAATAATCCTTCTGATGTACTAAATATGGTAATATTTTAATTTAGGCTTGTAGCCCATACAGTTTCACATTCAGTTTGAACCGTAATGAACAGACAGCCCATTGCAATCAAAGATCATTTCAATTTGCTACATTTAAGCCGAGTAGATAGCATTTATGGCAGTAAATACAGTGGGGAAGGAACCGTAAATGAAGCCCTAAACACAGTTCAAATGACAGTGAGAATCTTTTGCAAATCCTCTAGGCAACAATTACACATTTGGCTGCGAGCCGGTCCGAGTTGCTCTGTGCTGGCATTAATGCGGTTAGGTTGTGTAACCTTCATCTCAGTCGCAGGGGAATATCCGACTATCCTCCCCTTTTGAGCCCCAAAAGTGCCAAAAAGTCTAAAAAAGAAATTCGTTTTTTCAGTTTCAGTTTCGGGTAGCTGTTGTTTCGGTCCTGTGGCACGGCGTCCTCTGCATGACAACTTCACTCTGTTGCTCCATTTGCAACATTTATGGGATTTCGTATGTTGTTGTCTGTCGTGTGTATCTGAATCTGTGTGTGCGAGAGGTCATTTTATTGTTTCCAGACAAAATGGTCAAATGGGAATTTGGTTTTTAGCTCAGCTTTTACCCATTGTATGCGATAGTAGCCGATGGATTTAGATTGAACTGTCGAACATGTTACTGGGGCTTGTCCTGCCGAATGCAGAGCAACTTTGCTAGATAGGCCGATGAACCGACCAGCCAGTCTGCTAAAACAATGCAAATGATTAGAATAATCGCCGTAGGTGTTTCCCTTGCCGGACTTACTTGCCCATAAACACAAATTTCAGTTTGCCGCAATAAAAGTTTACATTTGGCCCTTTCTAACGTTTTTATTGCTCTCGATTGACTTTTAAACCTAGTTTCATTCATCCCAATCAAAGTAAATTTCATGAACTCAGTTTCGAATGGAATCGAGAAGGGTAGACAATTTATTTAAGCCTTTGGGAAAGCGTGTGCAAAAGCACTTATATAAATTATTCATTGATAAATTCTCAATTATCAGAACCCGCCAGTTTTTTCGGTACGAAATCAACGAACGAATTCGTTAATGCTAATTTATGTTTCTCCCGCTGACAAAATGGGGGAAATATTCATTCATTTCCACCTTATACAAGTATCTTTTATCTTCCTCTCCTTTAGAATGCCAACTTCCCCCGTGAAAATTTCTGACACGTTTGCAAATTAGGTTCTGTGGTTAAAGTGCTAGCAAAATCTCTGTAAATGTGTCTAGAAACTGAGAACAGTCGATTAGTTTTGGTTTCATACGTTTGTACAATTTCGAGCAAAAATTCAACAAAATTCTGTCTACGGGCAATAAAATAAAGTTAGTGAAATTTAAACTGATAAGTTTATTTCAATGTTAATTTTTATATTTTCGACTGATATTTTAGTTTAACATTACCATGAATTATTCCTTCAGCTTAAGCTAATTTGATTTAGGTGGTCCAAGAATTTTCTCGATCTCGCAGAGTCTGTCCATCACCTGCTGGTTTCTGGCCTTTTGGTCCTTAAGTTTTTCTCCAATTGCATCCAAAGTGGCCGCGATGGCCAACAGCGAAACATCGGTGGTCTGAAGGTCCCTCAGCAGGGGCGTTATCTTTGCCACGGGAACGGAACTAGGATCTGCGGGAACCTCTTCTGTTGGTTTTTCTTCAGAAGTACCTGCCGCACCACTGGTTATAGTTTCTACTGATTCTGCAGTTGGCTCTTCAGCTGCAACAACAGGTGTTTCTGAAATCACTGGTTCTGGCGAAGTTTCGGTGGTTTCTACTGCAGCTGGAGCTTCAATAGTTTCTACTACTGAGGCCACAACCTCAGGACCAGACTCTACTGCAACCACTTCTTCTGCTGGAGGTTTTTCCAATACTTCTCCAGAAACTATAACTGCGGACTCAGTTGTGGTTGGAGTTGCTTCGTCAATTACATTGGTACTCTCTTGAACTATATCCTCTACAGGTTTTGTAGCCGTCTCTGTTACTTCAGATACAGTAATCTCTTCCGCTGCTGGAACAGTTTGCTCACTGACTTCCGCTTTTTCTGGTTCTGGTTCAGCAGCTGCAACGGTTGGTTCAGGAACCGTTGGTTCGGGGATCGGCGCGGCTGGTTCCGGAATTGGTGCAGGTGCGACGGGATCGGCGACGGCCGCAGCAACGGCTTCAACTTCAGGTGTTGCAAGTTCAGACGCAGGTGAAGCTTCTGCGATTGTAGTAGTATCTGCTTCCAATGTCGTTGTAGGAGCTGCGATCGGAACAGCATCCTCGGCCGGAGCGGAAACCTCTGTAACAGTTTCCGGCGGAACTTCTGCTGTCACAGGAGCAACTGTTGGTTCTTCATTAACAACTGGTGGATCTGGTGGGATCTCTGCTGCCACAGAAACTGGTGCTTCTGCTGGTGGTTCCTCTTTGGCAATTGGTGGGTCCTGGCTCGCAGCTGGAGTCTCCACTGGTAAAGGATCCACAGGAGTGACAACGATTGGTTCTGGTGTGGGTATCGGCTCTGGAACTGCGGCTGAAACTTGTGGAATTGGTGCAGGGGATGGTGTGTCTGGTATAGCTGCAGGTGTTTCAACCGATGGCACAGAGACTATAGGAGTTTCCGGAACTGGAGCTGGAGCTTCCACTGTTGTGGCAGCTGGCTCTGGAGGAACTGGTTCGGGAACTGGTGTAGCAATTGGCTCTGGAGGAACTGGCTCGGAAACGGTTGCAGCTGCTGGCTCTGGAGGAACTGGTTCTGGAACTGTAGCTGGCTGAGCACTCTCAATTGCAACAGCCGCTGGTGCAGCGGGAGCTGGTTCAGCTTCTGGTGGTGCAACAGCAACTGGTTCTGGTGCAACAGTGGCAGCTTCGATAGCAGGAGTCTCAGGAACAGCAACTTCCGGTGTGACAGCCACAGGAGCAGCAACTGCGATCTCCACAACAGCTGGTGGTGCAATGACAGCCGCTTCTGCTGCTGCAGGTGTTGGTGCGGCCACGACAACAGGAGTGTCGACGATAACTGGAGCAGCGACAGGAGCAATATCTGCTGCAGGGGCTGCAATAACTGGAGATTCCACAGTTGGTGCAATCGGGGCAGGGGCTTCTGGTGCAGGTGTCGGTGTTGCAGCAACAGGAGGCGCTTCAGACTGTGAAACAGCAACCGGAGTTTCAGAAACAGCAACAGGTGGGGTTGCGATCTCAGGAGCAGCAGCAGGAGCCACAGTAGCTTCCGCAACAACAACTGGTGACGCAGCGATGACCGGAGCAACATCAACTGGCGTCGCAGCGATTACAGGAGCAACAGCTACCGGTGTTTCGACAACTGCCACCGGGGTTGCAACTGGTGATGCAGCTATGACTGGAGCAACAGCAACAGGAGTCGCAGGAACTGGAGTCTCTGCGACAGCAACAGGTTCGGCAGCAACAGCAACTGGAGTCGCAGCAACTGGTGGTGTAGCGATCACGGGAGCAACACTAACTGGTGTTTCAGCGACTAGAACCGGTGATGCAGCGATAACAGGAGCAACAGCAACTGGAGTCTCAGGAACGGGTAGTGTTGCGATCACAGGAGCAACAGCGACTGGTGTCTCAACAACTGCCACCGGAATCGCAGCAACCGCAGCAGGTGGTGTTGCGATCACAGGAGCAACTGCAACAGGAGGAGCAGCGATCACAGGAGTTACAGGAGCCGGAGGCTCTGACGCCACTGCAGCAGGAGCTGCTGTTGCTGCAATAGGAGTGGCCACTGGAGCGACGGGAGCTGCAACAACAGGTGGCGCCACTGGAGCGACGGGAGTTGCAACAGCAGGAGATGCAGCTGCAGGAGCAGCGACAGGAGTGGCAGCAACCGGAGCGGGGGCAGCAGGAACTGCAGTGGCAGCAACCGGGGTTGGAGCAGCAGCAACGGGAGTGGCAGCAACCGGGGCAGGAGCAGCAGCAACCGGAGCAGCAGGAGGGGGAGCAGCAGCAGGAGGAGCAGTAACTGTCTGAACACTCGCAGTGGGGGGAGCAGCAGGAATTGGTGTTGCAACGACCGGCGACGGTGCTGCAGGAGCCACTGCCACGGGGCTAGCAACTTGCACAGGAGGAGCTGCTGCTGCATGGGCCACAGGCGTTGCCACTGGGGCAGAAGCAGGTGCTGGTGCCGCTGCAGGTTCCATGTCCTTCTAGTTTCAGGCCTCTCTCACGGTTAAACTCGTTTGCCCTTTTGCGGAGCTTTTCACTTATCCGGTGATTAGTGAACGCAAATTTTCATGGTCAGCCTTTCATGGTCAGTAGACATCTGAAAGCAGAGGAATGAAAATGTGGAAAAGGTGAGACGTGAAAAACATTTGGCCTTCAGCTGGGTTGTTGCCTTCAATTAAGATCGATAAGAAAAGAGGTTCGCAAAAATATAAAAAGAGAAAAGAATAAAGAACAAAACAACTGTAGAAGAAGAGAAACCAAATGGGGTTTTCGTTCTGCTTTTAAGTGATTGCTGCTAAATAATCAATAAATTATTTTCATATTTTATTTAATAACCGGTCCGAAAGAAAAGAAAATAAAAAGCAAAGAAAGTTGGGGGTGTATTCCTTATGAATTAAAACCTGGATTAAAGAAGATCTTTTATTTGTATTATATTTTAAGTTCGTGTTATCGCTAACTTAAATAAGAATTTTTCTGCTTGTCAGTCATTTTTATATACCATTATTTTATTTAACTGATTAATTGATTTAACTTTAGACCCATAAAACAAAAATATATTGTATTATGGCTATCGAGTATTGATGTTAAAGTCGGCCTGTTGGGCGAATCCTCGTTATAACATTTCTCCTTTTTTAAATCATTAATAAATATGTTTGTAATAATACCAACCGAACAGTAAAATAGTTCTTCACAGCGACCGACTACTCGTTGGGAAAACCCGCGGATAACTGGCCCGTTGACTCAGTTTTCCTGGACATTCTCACCTCTTTTCATCGGTTTACGCCGTTCAGAAGTCTGACAACTGCCCATTGAGCGCCAGAATATACGCATAGTTTCAAGTGCCTTGCGTTTATTTCGGTTTCACTTTAAGGTGCTTAACAGCTGACCTTTGTCAGAATTAAATATTTTCCGGCTCGCAGGGGAAAGCATTCGGTGTGCGCTAAAAAGTGTGCTACATGCGTTTTCCCCATTTCGTATGAGGGATGTTCCTCAAATTATGGCATTATTGATTCCGCTCACATCTTGCCAGATGCATTGAATTCATCGTGGAAACCCTTTTAGGGATTTATTCCTGCTCCATTGCATATCGCTTAGCATCGCTTTGTCAACTGCACTCGCAGACACATAACTGGTTATTTACACAATACTGATTACTTTGCCGTATTTGCAATGTAGTTGTCAACAAAATGCGACAGTTCCCCCAATCTCCTCTATCCCCTCCCCCAATCCACTTCCCCTCCTTTGCGACCGTCCGCCATTGAATGTCTGATGCAATGACAGTTGACAAACTGCCACTACGTAGCCGTTGGATCGGAACACATTAGCTCGGTGGAAATGTAATCGCAAAGAACTAAGAAATAAATCTTTCAATTTTTCGAGTGAATGCAAGGGAATGGAGAGGGGGAGGTGGATTGAGGGGGACAGGAAGTGCAGCCAAATGTAAAGCAATCCGCAGAGGCAGCCGGCAGTTGCACATGCCGTCCGCTGGAGCAAGTGTAATGTGATCTGCGTACAATTTGCAGCCGTCGTTTAAAAAAGTCCAACACCTCGCCTCGTCCCGCAAACTCCTTTCTCTCCGGAAAACCCAGCACACTTGAGACTTTTGCAAATAGTTTTTCCACATATGAACAGAAAGAATTTCTTCTCGCCAAATAACAAAAAAAAAGGATTGCTGGCGAAAAGAAAAGAAATACATATATATAAATAGACGAGATGGGAAAACGCTTATATGGAAATGATTTCACCGTAGAAATGGAAGTGGAAGAGCGAAGCGGAGTAGTTGTGAAGATTGAATTGGCAGTTCAATTTCACGTATTATTGACATTTAAGCGTAAGCATTTGAATATAAACTGAACCCGGCTCAGGGATTGAATGCTCGGAAGGCCGAGCGCAGGAAGGACTCGCTTCCACAGGATGCACAGACATTGGCTGCCTATTATTTTCTGTGCGATAAATCAATCGCATGAAGCAAAATGCAGAGAAAATACCCAGATAAGTGGAAATGAAATTACACCAAGCATACAAATTGTATTTATACTTTATTCTATCTCCTCCCGCATCACTGCGCACGACAATTGATCTAAACAGAAAAGCGAAAAGGAGTTTGCGTATCAGAAATAAATGTATTCCTAAGATCTGACAGTTAACATTTGATCTCTGCATCTATGATCTATTAAAAAAGATTCAAGTGATAATACAATAAATACAATGTTTACAAAACGAAAAAATTAATAATGAAAATAAATCGCACTCATAGTTTTCATCCCTTTATAACCAAATCAATAAAATTTAAGTGTTCGAACTTCGTTGATATTTCATAAGCTAAAATAACAATTTAAGCCGAAAATCTACCTGCTGGATCAGAGGTCGAACAAAGCTTCAACAAATAATACAATAATTTTTTAAAACTATTGACATCGCGATTCCGCCACTTTTAGCAGGTGAGAGGATCAACAACTAAAACATAAATAAAAAACAGAAATCAGTGAAACATATAAACCTAATTGCCGTCATTTTGCACGCATTCCGGGCGTGTGGAAAGTCGAAAGTCCGAATGCGATTGGAAAAGCCAAATACAAATATGAATACAAATGCGGGGCGAAAATCGAAATTGCAAAATGTGGCAAGAGGAGCTCAAGCTTCAATCCGGGCCCGCTTCCGGGTGTATTTTGCTAAATTGCAAATATTTCTCAATTCGCATGCATCAGCAGAGAACGCAATGCAAACAATTTTCACCCGGCGGCCACAATAAAAAGGGAAACCCCCGGCGAGCGCAAAAAACCCAAACACCACCCACACGCAGGAGGGCACACAAAGTGCTGGCTAGGCAAAAAAATTCGCAAAAATCGGCGCCGTATGGCAACCCTGGTCGCTGTGCGGCTGCTGCAACTATGGCGCAATTTATTTCCAGTTTGATTGGTTTTTTCGTGCTTAATTGCACTTGGCTTGCGGGAGGGGGCCTTTCTGACCATCCAATTGGGATCCGGGTCTGTGTGGATGCGAGGGGGGTGTGGGGGATTGCTGCCCCAATTGGTTGAAAGGTCGCGCTCATCACGTGCTTTAATAATTTATTCAAATTAACACGCGTCAGCCTGCCCTTCTGCTCCCCTGCGCTGGCTTCTACTCCGTTTATGCGGAGACCATATTGAACGAAAAACTATCTAATGGAATATTTTAACTTTTACAATCACATCAGCTTGAAAAACTCTCTTATTTAAGGCTTAAGCTAAATTACCAAATGTTTTTGTTAGCACATGCAATTAATAATACTTTAATCATACCATTATCATCTTAATCTTTATCGATTATTTTCCAAATATCCTATATGTTAATCAATAACAATTCTTTATCTCAACAATTTGAAGCATAAACATGATATGGACACAGTGAGTGGGTCAGACTACGCTCGGTTAATGGCCAACACTTTGTGGTCAGAGCAAACCGGAAAAACTGGCAGGCAAATGCAAAATATTGCACACAAGCACCCACTTACGGTCGGACCCATTTCCACTTTTCACTCCATTTTCACCTCTCCCCGGGAAAGTGTGAGTGTGTAAATTACAGCTACATTTTTAATGCATTTTTATTTACATTTACATGGCAGCGCAAACACACAGCCCAGCTGCACGGGGGGAAAATTCTGGCCTGACACGAACTTTTGACACTTGACAATTTGATTGTTTTTAAGGCAAAGTGTTAAATTATGCAAAGCACATAACAAACACAAATCGAAAGGCACGCACGTACACTGTATCAACAGCAACGGAAAGTACAATATTTAATTTTAAATAAAAAGCCAAAGAACAATTTGCATCAATTAAATTCTGAGAAATACTGTAAAAGCTTCAATGGTTTTTGAAGATTTGTGTAGTGGCAAAATGTTCACCTCAAGCGTTTGTTTTAAGTGCTTAGTTTGGTTAAGGGTTGTAAGTGCTTAGCTCTCTTGAATGGTTGTCTACATTGCATAAAATCACAAGATAAGTTCAAGCTAAATTAATATTTAATCACATAAAAAACTAAACTTAAAAGTTATTAAAAGCAGAAGCAAAACCCTTATCCTGCTATTATTTCCCGAAGATATCTTCGGCTGTTTAAAAAATTCAAATGAATTGCACAATAAATGGGCAATATTTACTGCGTAATTGCAACTAATGTAGCAAGTTAAACGGCAGTAAACTAATTACGATCCCTTCGCCTGGTTCAACATAATTTTCATTGCATTTTTTCAGCCCTTCCACGCCACGACTCCTTTTCCACTCCTTCCAGGCTCTATGCTCCGACTCCTTGTTGGCTCCTTTCTTGTGGTAAATTAACTTGAATGCCGCAATGTATTTACCGGTACTCTTGGCGAGGAGAAAAACAAAGAAGAATATGGCGAAGGGCAAAAACAATGAAAGGGCTCCGGCTGCAAATGGAAAGGGTTAAAGAGCAAACAAATCCGACAAGCCAGGAGAAATGTTGCAGGAAAGGTGGAAAGGTAGGAAAATGCGCGTGAAGAGGGGACGAAGGGCGGGGCAGGAGTCGCGTAACTTTTATCATTAGTCCGCTGGGAAATTTAACGGGCACTTAAGTTTTTCTCACTCGTTTTCAACTTATTTTTTCCAGAACTATTGTTTAGCCATAGCTCGTTTTCCCCGTTCGCACCACCATTTTCCCAACATCCCCAGCTGTCACCTTTCGTTTGGCTCCCGCTCAGCTCGTTTGAAAATTTATATTATGTTCCCTCCGATTGCGGCACTAAGGTTAGCAGCATCATTTATAAGGAACTTTTGTTTTGCTAAGCCCCGCCCTTCGCTTCGGTTTTTGCGGATATTGTTGCAATTTATTTTATTGCATTTTGTCTACAGTTTGTGGATTTAATTTGGCCCCCAGCACTGCGAACTACAATCTGGTTTTCACCCGAGCTTAACAAGCTGCCAAGTTTTTAATGCCAGGCCTAAGCGAAACTTTTTCGATTTGGTTCGGGGTCCGGTGCTCGGGGTCCCTACTACTTTCTTCCGCATCTTTGACTTCATTTTTATGATTTCATGGGTTGATTTTGGCCGAGGGACTTTGGATATTGCGCCATTAGAAAACCAGTGGTCACTTTACCAGCCAATTTTCGTGGCCTAAAAGGGGGTGCTTAGAGTTACAAGCTACCTTAAATGCGGTTTCAGATAAGGTGACACCAACTGGGCAACGTGTTTCGGGTTCCTGTCCAGAAGATATCACAATAACACGATGATACCAGGCAGGACCTCTCTTCTCTTCGGATGAAGCCACGTATTCACACAGCATGTGCCCAGAACGGGGATAAACTAGAAGTTCTTGTCCTGTCTCTGGGTTTTGGTTTCGGGATATTTTCAAGATGTGAACATATGAACGCTTAAAGAAATGTCAATTACATTTGTCGATGTGGACATTCCTGGCTGGCTGTTGCCATTGTTGCTGCTGAAATTTGAAATATCATTGTGGAGCCGGGTTCTAGTCGGGTTTCCATTCAACGCCGAGTGGCATTTGTTCAGCAGGCGAGACGAGGCCGCAACTCAGCTCGGCTGTGGGCACTCAGCACATGTCATTTTTGGGGCAGGGAATTATTCCCAACTCAGACCCACTTCACCCTTTCCCTCCTTCGGGTGGAATTGACAAAAGTTCAGACAATTTTAGCAGCACGCACATACACAATTTATGAACTTTTCACTCAGAAGGGCTGGCAACATGTTTCTTATCCA